GATGGAGTAAGTGGCCCTTTTGTTGAAGGGAGAAAAACTTTTGTTTTTCCTCATGACATAACATTTTGGGCAAGCATTTTTAGAGCAGCAAGAAATGAAAGATATTTTATGATTTTGTGGTACATCTATTTGGGAACAGGGGGAACACAGTAGTCTAGAAATATTTGAACCTTGCTGAGGTTTGGCTCACTGCACTGAGCAATATTTTTAATACCACATGTAAATTAGCCTTGAATTTCTATAAATGAGAGTTCTCCTCTTATTAGACTTAAAAGAACTATACAATAAACACATATGGGATACTTAGTATATAGATAAGGTAGGATTGTCTGCTCCACTTTATCTGTTAGCAGTAAGAGGAATAAAGCCACGTTTCTGTTCTGTGTGGCAAAGGGGGACCTCTTCCCCTGTTGGGCCCTCTGAGCAGTTCTGTGAATTAAATCCAATAGCACAGTGTTTGCTGCAGTTCTTAGGTCCTCTATAGATGATATTTGAGATGTATTTGCTTTCAAAAAGAGTGACCGTGGTGTTTCAACAGAAGCCTGACTGGTCTTATTTAGAAATTATTAACTTTTGCCTTGAAAATAAATTCTTCCTGAAGTAAGTATCTGGAGAGGATACCTTTTGTCTTCCCTAGAGAGGTTTAATAAATCACTGCGGATGTCTTTCTAAAAATAACAAAGCTGCTTCTGCCACTTTAGTTTTAGTCATAGCAATTGCCAGTGAAGATCACAGAATATAAAACAAAAGCAATAATTTTGTACGTCTTTTTTTTTTCAGAGTTCCCCAATAAGCACATTATTCCCAAAATGTCTCTTATTTATTCAAAAGCTAAATATTAACTTTAATTCGCAATGCTTAGCTGTGGGTTTACTGATTAAAAGGAGGGTTGAATCTCAATAAGGGAAAAAGTTAAATACTTGGAAGATTTCTTAAACTTCAGTGAAGCTTTCAAGTAGTTTTTCGAAAACTAAGATATCCATAGTGTTTGGGTTAGTTTTTTTTTCATAAACATTTAGTTAGTGGGCTAAATCTGAGTTCCTAGAACCATGCAATCACAGGAGCTGTTGGCAAGAGCAGAGGGGATGCTGGTAATTCCAGAGTTTGTAGCAGCAAAAGAAAAATTTGAAAATGTTATTCAAATGTGCATAGAAGGGAATATAAGGAATAAACCACCAGACAGTCCAAACCCTCACAATTTTAGAGGCAAATCTTGTGATCTGGGTCTGGTTCCAGACTGGGGGGCTTGGAAGTGGGTGATGCTGCCAGAGCTCCCTCTAGTGCCACCATTCCTGCTGCACCTGTAGACCATAATACTCCTGTTAAGCATCAAATGACCAGGTGATTTGGGTGGAAGCTAAAAGAACCTATCCAAACCCTTTAATAACAGCCAAAATTTGATGGACAGAGTGGTGATAAGAGTACAGGGAGCACCTTCTCTTCCTGCTGTGTGGACTGAAGATGTGCTAAAGCTGGTTCTTGTGTCCTGCCACACCTTGCTGTCAGTGCTTAAGTCCTGGGAAGAGTGAGGGTTCAGGTGTCACTGAGCTCACTCCTAGGAGAGATATTCCTTAAGACCATTGCAAAGACCAAAAGCAACTTCTTTGATGTGTTGCTACAATTCCTGGTAAATAAACTGGTGTCCCTGTAGGACACAATCTCTTGTTTAAGTGTAGAAGATGCTGAGCTTGTTCAAACCACTCTTAAGTTCAGTTCTTTGTGCCTTCCCCTGATGGCAGGAGGACAAGGTTCATTAATGGCATCTTGCATCACTTTTATTGTGAATTTTTCTCACCTAAGCAGTAGATCAACATTGCAGTGAACTGTTGTGTACACCTTCAGATCTCTGAGAACATCCCAGATGATGCTTTTGAGGAAGAAATTCCACAAGTAAATGTTCAGTAGAGGTTTCACTCTTCTTGGAGCAGCAAAATAACTCTTGAGTCTGTGTGCTTGTGTGTAAGGGATGGATGGATGGATGGATGGATGGATGGATACACACACTCAGAGGTGCTGCCTTGGAGAGCTGAGTGGTCGTGTCTACAAAGACTTTTTTTATGGAAAGGTTATGAGCCAGGTTCAGTCCCTGAGGCTCAGGCCTATTGCTAAGGCCATCACTGACAATCCTTAGGGATACTCCACACAGCACTGTTTCATGGGCCAGACCTGGCAGCACTGTTGAAAAACTGAGGTGCAATTAGCACCAGTTGGGTCAAAGCCCATATTCCTCCTGGTCCTTGGTCACACACCCCTACAAGAGGCCAACTCTAAATCCTCAGCTGAAGTGCAGGACATGACACAGAGGCAGGTGTGAGGTCATCTGCCCTGCCTAAACAGAGACTGATTTAGTCTTTGAAATGTGGGGTGAAATCAATTTTAAGCTATTTTCATTAATTGTAGCATGCACAAATGCATGTTATCTGTGTGAGCATCCAGTTTGCCTTCTCAGTGACATTCTCTACTATTGAGTCTGAGTTATTTAGGGTAATAGAGATGTATTTTCCTTAGGTTTAAATGCTCCATTTCTTATTTGCAGTTGGTTTGTTCTTTTGATGAAAAGGTACCATCTACCTTCTCAGTGCCTTTTAAGAACTTTCTGTTAATGCTCCCCTCTAGAATAATTTCCCGTTACTGGCAGACCAAACTGAAGTCCAAAAAACTACAACTACTAAAACTACTGAAAGACACAAGGTGTTTTGGTAGGAAAAACAGGGATATGCTACTCTTAAAGTAAGTTCCTTTTTTCCTGATTATGACTTGCTGCGCTATTTTTTGCAGGAGGAGGGCTGTACACTGGTATAATCCATGGAATTTGACAGATTCACTATCCAAATAAGAACTGATGGCTACTAATTTAGGAAAATCTCACTCAAGTGTAAAACCTTCTAAATAGACTTTGTTAATGTGCTTTGTTACTAATTGGAAAACAAATCCCAGGGGATCTGCAGCTGTTCGCAATCAGCACTGTAGATCATCTTCTTCTCTGCGGGATGACTCCATGCTCAGACCCCATTCCCAGTATTTTCTCCTTCCTGACCTGCCCCAGGCAATCAGGCCACCCGTAGCCACTATTTTTATTCCTAGTGAGTACTGAAAGAAGGAGAGCTGGGAGGGAGTTGAAGGGATCAGGAGCAAATGGACTCTGCTTTTGCCTAGCGAAGGAGGCGACCCCCAAAATCTTTCTGGCCAAAATCTTTCAGTGGTCTCAGAACCCTCATCTCAGCTCCCTAATTCCTGTCACCTAGTGACCCTGAAGACTCCTTTCCTAAGCAATACCTCAAACATGGATGGTGAAGCTTGTCCTCAAAAAGATGAGGAGTTGCAGTTGTGAATTTTTAGCAGCAGCAGACAGTGCTGTGCCCCAGCCCTTGCCAGGACCCTCCTGCTCTGATGAGACACCAGCAAACCTGATCTGGTGCAGCCATGGCAGTGCCACAGCCCCGTGACAAAGAGTTCTGGCCCCACTCTGCATCTTTGAAACCAGCTCTGGAAGACAGAAATCTTCTAGTAATTACTTGGCCATTTGTTTCTAACTGAATAGAGCTGCTTCATGTTCTATGATAATAATAATTGTTAACTGGCCTTTTTGTTCTCTGGCTCTCACTTGTTTCCAAGGGTAGATACATCATTGAGCAAGATTCACCAGTTCCTTATCTATCTGATGTTCCTTATCTATCTTATATGTAATATTTCTTGCATATCTACTCTTCATTCTTGTCCTGGATCCCCACGCAAATCTAAAGAATTTTGGTTAAAAACAACGTACATTAAAAATGAAACTGTAATTGTTAAATCATCTAAAGAAATGATAATTAATACAAGGTACTTTTAAAGGTGGGTTGAATGTCACACTTGCCAAGCTGCCAGATGGGATTTCTGTTCCTCAGAGTGTGATGACCCTTAGGTAGTAGGTGCAAGGTGAGTTGGTGATCTCACTTCAATTCTTGCTGAGTTAAAGTTGTCGTGGTTGTCAGTAGCCAGCTCTGAGGGCATAGGATGATCCATGCACCACTTCTGCTCATGGAAAAAACATGTCTGGGACCATTATCTGTTTAATTTCATGAACATTTCAAAGGGAAAATACTGCACTTTAAAATAATTCATGGTTATTTTACCCAGGATTACAGAGAGTAAAGAAGGGTTCTGTAAATCTTTAAATGAATACAGCTTTTAAAATAAAGTTAGGCACTGTGACAAAGCCATTTGGCTTGGATGTTGGTTGCACTACAGAAGCTTTACAGGCTCAAGGATGTTACATACAAGACTCCAAACCTCCTTCCAATTTTTCTGTCTTTAAAAATATAATTATATTGTGCACCTGCTACCATTGCTGTGCAGTGAGTACTGTGAAGAGTGTGACTCTCCCTGTGGCAGCAGCTCTTGCTCAGTCCAAGTGCAGGGAGGCTCTCACATAGCCCCAGAGTTCCAGTCATCACCTCCACCAACATCCCCTCACCGTGGCAGGAGCAATTCCCAGCCTCTCACCCCTCCACAGCCACAGCCAGGCCACGTGTGCCCGCTCCGGGTCCGTGGTTGCCACCGAGGGTGACAGTCACACACCTTCCCCCACCACTCCAAAAATCCATGTGATGGCTCAGGAATTCAGCCTCACACCACAGGAATTTCACATCCCTGTGCTGAATGGATTTGATTGCAATCTGGAGGCTCTAAATTTTGTCTGGTACATACTCTTACGGAGGAGAGCTGGGCAAAAGATGCAAAAATGAGAAACTGAATGAGATTCATCATTTAATTTCTCTCATCCCACTTCTCACACTATCTTTCCCCTCTGGCATTCTGTTTGCTGGCATTCTATCAAGTAGTTTAGGGTAGTGACTCAAAAGTGTGAGAGAGTGAGCCTGAGATGCAGGGGTAGCTGGACCTCTGGCCTTTTGGACTGTCAGTGGACAGGCAGAGAGCAGACATGAGGAGCAGGAGAAGAAAGGACTCCACTTCCCCCTGTGTGTTCATTCCCTGGAAAGCAGAAAGCAGCTGAAAGCAAGCAAAGTGAGGATAAATTAAAAGATGAACCAGACCCAAGGAAGGGGAAAATTTTCAATGCAGCAGTGATTTTTTTGGTTCACTGAAGGAGTCTAAAAACAGAGGGATACTATAGAGAAGACTGTTAAGTGTAGCTGGGCTGCAGGGAAAGCTCCAAAGCCACCTGCCCACAGCGTGGCAGGGGGTATCCTGCATTTAAAGCTGCCTGTCAGATTAATGTGACCTCCTGTGCTGCTGTGTAATGGCCATATGACACTGCTACAACAAAATGTTTTCACGTTGCAGAGCTATGCAGGATAACAAACTGCTGTGCCATATATCTACAAGAGAAACAGGCTCTTCTCCTTTCCGTGAGAATGGGGCTGGCACCTCAGTGACACTGCAGGTTGAAAAATATGGGACATCCACTAGGATGTATTACTGAAGAAAGAGGAGATGGGAAAGTGAGGCTGGGAACCTCTTCTGTCTGGCAGCAGAGCTCCAGATTTGTGCCCACCAGGGTTTTGAAGTGTATAGCTAAATTTTCTGGTAAAAGAGAGCAAAGGGGATGCTCAAGCACCCAGATGTGAAGCTCTGAGTCAAATGTTACCATTCTCTTCTGACAGTGCTCTGGGATCAACTAAGTGATGATGTAAGTGGTCATGATGTTAATAATTAGCTTTTATGCAGCTTAGCTTTAAAATGGTGTCAGATCCAGTTTACAAAGAGAGACACCAGAATTCCCCTTCAACAGGTGGAAGAAGTGGGCAAGAAGGAAAGAACAATTTGCCCATCATCCCTTAACAGCCCAATAACAAAACCAGTTTGGATACTTTAACATGTCTGAGGTGAGCTCCCATCCCATCAGCCTTTTAAAAATAGGAGGTGACTCAGTCTTTAACAATGTTCCTCCACCCTGGCAACCTCTGGAGGTGAGGGAGAGAGTGTGTTCCTTGGTAAACCATCAGTGGCACTGCTGCTGCACAGATGTGCTGCCTGGTGAGCTGTGTGATAGCAAAGCCGAGTGCTCCAAGGGCTCTTTCTCAAAACAGGAAATGTAAAAAGGCTGGTACAAAAAATGTAATTACTTGTCATCAATACAGGAGCATCAGCTCTGAATGGGGTGGATTAGTGCAGGTGCGACCTGAGCTCTTTATTCACCTCAGACCTTACAAGAAAGACCATAAAATAAGTCTTCCATTCCTTAGTGATTTAGCTGTATCCTGACAGCAGCAGAGCTGTAGCAGGATTGACGTCTGACAGTCGGGCCCTGGGTTGCCATGGTAACTGCCTAGGATGGGGTGCACTTAAGAAAAACGCAACTTCTGGGCTAAATTGTGGGCTGGAGGGTGGCAGATGGATGGGATTCAGCTGCCTCAGAGGGTGGTGCTCCACAGCCAGACATGCAGATTCAGGAATCTACCCAGGTGGTCGATTTGGCACATCAGAATCAAAATTTAATTTAAAACATCAGTTTGTTCCCAGATTTGCTCACTGTGCCGTGAAACATGCAGGGTTAGATAAATTCCCATGTAATCCAAGTCTCGTGGATTGCCCCAAGCAAGGGACTCGGTGCACTCACAGCCCTTTCTCAGGAGCAGCCAGCAGAGACAGGGAGGGCTTCCCATTTTCCTGGGAAGTTAAGCTTTTGGCAGCCTTACACACATCCAGAGCCAAGGACTCCAGATCCAAACGCAGCTGCGAGCTGGAATCGATGTTGTTGGAGTCACTGAACCTCTCTTAAAACACAGGCAACATATTTTGTTGCAGAAATGTTTCCAAAACTAAAGGTCCTTAGAATTTTCTGTTCACAAAACAATTTGAAATGAAAAAAAGGAGAGAAGAAACATCTTGTTACAACATGGCCCAAACCCCTGTTTTATTGTGTTTGTCAGCCAGCTGCAGGGAGTCCTCAGGACCTGAGCATGGGGGAAACATCTGTATCTAAGGGTAGAAATCAGGAGAAAAACAAACCAACCAGCCATCCACCCAAAATAACCAGCTCCTTAGCTGTATATAAAAGTCAGCTTAGTTTTAAATAATTGCTGCTTTGGGTTGGGGGGTTTTGGGAACCACATTTATTGTGGTTCCTTTACACCATGCGCAGTGGTAAGTCCATTGTAATAAACGCGTTGTTATATTAAAGTCATTTTCCAAGATTGTTTTCTGAAACACAATATGACTTAGTATCCAAAATGTATGGAAAACTTTTATGTACCACCTTTTCCCTGCACTGCTCAGCTACACTGTTGCTTTCCACCTGCAGCATTTCTTAATTTTTTCCCAACTTACGGGTATCTTGTGTTAAGTTCATTGGATAACAGATTTATTATCATTCAAAGGTAAAGGAACTCATATTTGTTTAACAGATCTGAACAGACTTTCGATGAACTAACCAGATTATATACAATGCACTCTACACTATCAAAAACATAAATAAATTTTAGGCTGAGCAAACAAATATTTTTTTGCAGGCAAATATTTCAGTTCTTACTCATATTTTCATTTTCTGAGAAAGAGGAGGAAGTAAAAACTTTTTCCATGCCTTCTTTTTTTTTCCCCCCCCGAAGAAATTTGACATTCCTAATTATGACAGTGCAAAGGGAAATGAAAATCTATTTCAAGAGATGATTCTTCTTGTAAACAGTGCCTGGGCACTTCTGCCTCATCTCATTGCATTTGGGCTGTCAGATGGGTACAATAAATAACACGTCCTCTGACCCCCGTTTTGTTGTTCTTTTTTCTCCTATTGCAAATAATTGTCAGTTCTAGTCCTTGCCTGCATGTCACTGAAAGAGTTCCCAAATGACAAGGATATGGGAGCCTTGGTTTAGCTGGAGATAATTTTAGCCTCTTTCTTCTGACAAAAAATTGCATGGGCTAAATCTGGACACTGGTTTCTTGCAGAAATAATGTTTTGTTTATCTTTTGTTCTGTTTTTATTTTTAATCCATTCAACAGCCCCAGTTATTTACTTTAAAGTATTTATTCAAGAGAAACCATCAGTGTGGGTTTTTTTTTTTAACCAAAGTATCTAACTATTCTGCCAAGAAACATGACAAATGTTAGTAATTTCTAATACATTTTCCTGGCTTTACAAGAACATTAAAAAAAAAAATCAGATTCACTTGCTGAAAAATGCAGACTATGAAGAAGTGAATTCAGTCTTCAGGAAATCTTTTTTCGTTTACAGCACAGTGAACTTCTCTTTACCCATCTTTTAATTGTACTTAGAGCTCAGTGAACCCACCTGAAACCCTGCACGTATTCCATCCTTTCAATTGAATTCACTTGTATTTACTGAGTTTCTTGATATTTAGTCCTAATCCTAAGAGTCATTCTGGGCTCTGGGGTCCAGCACAAGCCCTAAGGCAACTGAAAATACATTTCTTGTCTTAGTGGTTTCCCAAGGACAGACTGTAGCAATAAAATCTTTTTGATTTCAGGTGAAACTGGACCAAAGTATCACCAGGACTGCAAAACATAATGATACTGCACCAAAGTCAGTATCATTAGACAGGCCATACAAAAATGATACATGAGAGGTTAAAATCATGGTGGATGCAGCAGAGATCCCAAACTCATGTAATAGTTTGTTATTATCATCATCAAACATCAAATGGAGGAAGTTTTCCAGGTGGAAATAGCAAACCCCAAATCCCCAGCTGGAAACAAGGACGGTGTGTGATTTTCGGTGTGCTCTTTACAAACTACCTTTTGTTGGACTCCTCTTCCTTATATTCCATATGCAGTAGATGAGTGAACATGAGACTTGTATCAGCTGCTTCCCCCAGCATCCTCTGGATTTGCCAAGCTGTACTTGAAACTTCTCATCTGTGAACTGGGTTTTTAAGAAATGGCAGAACCAGGACAGGAAAGGGAAGAGTTAAAACCAGCCCTCCTTCCAAGTAAGTGACTAAAAATTACCCCATAATAGCAGCAGCATAGAGAGGCTTCTCAGTTCTCGACATAATTCCATGTGCATGACTTTGGGTTCTGCCATCGTGAACAACATGTGGTCTCCTTCTGGCAAAAAAAAAAAAGGCAGTTTGTTTTTTTTTCAGGGGGTAGTGGAGATGTTGGGAAAAGAGAGTGTAGTTCCTATTTCCCAGTTTCTGATGGGAGGAAGGACTTCAGCTCTGGCATCTCAGCGCTCATAATGACATTGTGAAGCTTCAACTTTTAAATACTGTGCAAATGGAGTTCCAGTTGCCTGGGAGAGACCCTCACCCTGGCTCCTTCATCACACCTGGGCTCTGTTTGGGTGGTAAAACCTGAAAAGTCCAGGACAAATATACCAGGTTTTTTTCATTTATCATCATTCCTGCTTGAGGGATGAGTTCAGGGGTCTTATGTAGCAGAATCTGCAGATCAATTAATCTGTATGGAGCAAGTAGTAATCAAATTCTAGGCCTTTTTTATAGATTAATGTTCAATCCTATAACCAAGCTATATATTGGGGGGGGAGCTCTCTAAAATCAGCAGTTGAAAAAGGAATCAGGATTTCCCAATGTCATAATGTAGTTTGGCTTACAATGAAAAGTGAAGAATGCACCTGATTTCTTATTATATAACACAGAGAAAAAAAACCCAACCCACCAACCAAACCCACAGAACTTACTGTTTGCATGAGATAAAGTTTTTTTGCTTGGTTTCACTGGAGAGATCATCAGCAGTATTTTTCTAGCCAGTGGGAAATTATGCAGCTTGACGTTTTTGCTAAACTGCCAGTTTTTAAAGGCACAGGATCAAAATCCTATACCTAGTCAGAACAAATTTGGATCAAAACCTGGCATCACTGGGTTTTTTGTCATTTTTGTGAGTATGACTTGTTCAGTTCTTCAGGCTACTAGGAGACATGCTATTGTCTTGCATAAAAGGATCACTTGTCCTTATGCTCAGGGTATTCCTGAGAAAATAAAATACAGAAAAGACAATCAGGTGTTTGTTTGTGTGTTTGTTTTTAAACCATGCATAACACTTTATCAGTTCAACATCCTTTAGCTATCTTCAGTTATCTCTAACTTTGGTACTGTTTACACTGTGACTGCACTTTTAGGTCTGTTATGGTTATGTGACCTGACCTGGGCAGCAGCATTTTACTAAATCACTGTGAAATTATTACTGTATCTGTTCCCTGATTTTTCTTTTCCTCTGGGAAAAAAAAATAATAATCCGTAACTTCTATTTGATATATAATGATTTGTATATACATAATGATCTATCTTCAAGTAACATAAATTTCCAGATACCATTTTCTCAATACATCTACATTTATTGAAACTCTTCTACCTCAGCACCAAAGAGAGTTTAATTTCAGTCTAACAGACTATACTTATCAGTCCATAGTTTCACTTGTAAAGATGAATAATTATGGCATTGTCATCTACTAGGATGTATGTAATGCTGAATTCAGGGTTGTTTTTTGCATTAGACGAGCCTGGTTAGTTCTTTCTGCTACAAAATACGGTACTGCATTTGTGTGCATTGTTCCTGGCCTTTTAAACATTGTCTATATAGAAATGTCACTGTTAAGGGTCTGTACTGCTGGTCTGCACCAAGACATTCATGTGATACCTCTCAGCAGAGATATGTTGGTGTCAGCTGAATTCCATTTGGCTGTCAGTCTCTTTCTGTTGTACCATCATCTAGGGGCCGTGGTAGTAGGAGAGGCAGTGATAAGTGGCAGGTTGGAGTCCAAATTTAGTCTCTTAATGATTTCTTCCTGAAAAAAAACCAAACAAAAAAACCATACCCAAAATCTGTGGAAATAATGGATAATTTGAGATATTGTTTCATGTTCCTTTCTTAGGAGTTTCTTTGTCCCCTCACGAGCAGAGTCGATGCATTTTCTTTCACAGGGTTAAATTTCAGTCAGAAAGTATTCCAGACCTTATCTTTGGTATCCTCATTACCCTTGGTGAACAGCAATGCTTCTTCTCACTTTCTTTTGCTGTCTTTTCACTTGCTGAGCGAAGACCATTTCCAGGTCTGGTCTTCAATCAGACCCTCTGGAACGACCCCGAGTGCTGCAATCTGAGGTCACTACTGTGGCATGAAATATAGCCAATGGGGCAATATTTTAATGTGTTTTTATTCTTCCAACACCTTATGAGAGAGGGAAGCTGGTACTCTGAACCTGGATATAATATCCCAATGACGATCTCCATGAATTGGCATACTAATGCAATCACCTTCCTACTTCCGTGGAGTAAAGGATCAACTCTAGATTTTTATAGACAATTAGCTTTTAGAATTGCTCTTTCATTACTTGGATTGTATAATGCATGTTTTCTTGGGACAGCTGTAATAAGGTTTCAGAGGAAAATGGAATGAGACAATGCAATTATCACCCATGATTCCTCTTTTTGTCCCTGTCTTAGTCAACTCTTGAGGGGAGGGAGGGCTTCTTGTTCAGTGTTTCATAAATTATCTCCTGTTGTAATGGTTTTAAGGCTAAATTTCATTATGTGAATCAAAGTGGTGGAGATGTCAGCACAAAATAACAATGTCTCAGACAGAGACAGCTAATATGAAATGTAACGTACCAGCAAAGGCTGGTACACACTGAGAACTAAGGAAATGCACTCCCTAGAAATAATAATAATGTATGGAGTGATGCAGATGAACACCAACTTTACAGCAGAAGAAAAGCAAGATGAAGTACACACATTGGGTTTAGAGAGATGTACACATAATGCCTTTGCATATTATACATGATGCTCTCAGGAGGCTCTTCAGTGTCTGCAGCATTTGATTCAAGTTATCAGCAACTGTACTCTCAGATATTAAAGTTTTACAAATGCTGCCAACAAGCTGCAAAATAGAAACTGCCTGAGGTCATGGCTGGCCAGTGAGAAAAGGTTCCTGATCGTATCATGACTTTTCAAGTGAGCAAGCTACTGCCAAATCAGCAACACAGGAATAGGATTTTCCAAGCCTTTTTGATGTCTCTGAGCCAGCTGGTCACCTCCTCTCTTTGCTTTTAGCAAAATGGGTCCCCAGAGCCAGCACACTTTTGGTGCCACTGATGTTTTCTCCAGGAAAAATATTTTCATTCTTAAAAAATCCCAATGGACTTAATTTATAATTTACAGAGATATTTTAGCATAAAATTTGTATAACTGCTGGTCTCAAAGTGATATCACTTGTGTGGCTCATTGTAGCTACTAATAAATATTGTTTTCTGGAGACTTACATCCCTCATTTTTCTCCAGATGATTGAAACTAGAAGAGCTCGTAAACCACAGAGAAGAGGACCTGAAGAACCTTTAATAATCCAAATTATCTTCTTAAAGAATAATTAGTGAAGAAAACACTTTTTCTTGTTAGAAGCCTGCAAAGATACTGCAGGGTCTCGAATGAATTGACAGCCAACTACGAGTTGGCTGAACGATAGCAGAAAATAAACCTGTGGGGAAAAAACCCACATCCAGTTAAAATTACTTGGATCTGTTAATTACTGACAGGGTAAAAGATCTGTAAGGAACTTTCATATTAAAAAGAAATGCATTAAGCCAGCTTTTCCAAATTATGTTAGTTCTCCCAAACCAAACACTGGGGAAAGTAAGGTGGTTGTTTTGTTTGCTTTGATTTTTAATTTAAAGAACTGATCCCCAGTATGTCTGCCGAGGAGATGTGAAACATTAAGAAATTTCTCAAGAAGGTCATGATTATTGCTTTTTGTTTGTTTGTTTATCAGTAATGACAGTTCACAGAATTATCACTTTGATGGTTTCTGGGACACAGATTGAAAAAGAAGTGAGATTGCGTTAGGATGGGAGAAATGGACTGCTGCTGCTAATTGCCAGATAACCTGTTTACAGTCTCGTTTGCAATGTGTGCTAATTGCACTGCAAACACTTCACAGTTTCCCCTCCAAAGCACTTGCTGTGCAGCTCTGTTGCTGCACAGCCTTAGGAGGAAGGGATATCCATAAGAGGGAGAGGTTGGCACGCATCTGACCTTCGCTTCCTGGTCATCTGCAAGCTTTGGGGAGCCATGCCCAGGGGATGGGGTTTTAGGGTGGCAAAACCAGTCCCAAATCTGTGTCTTTTTAGGCATCCAAATGGGTAAGGAAGCAATAAAACCATCAGCACTGGTACTGCTGAGGACCCTCAGCTTTGGCACCTGATCTTCCCTCTGTGAGAAGGGTGATTGCTCAGTAAAATCTTAACAGAATTTAAACCCAATTCTGTTTTAACTCACATCACCAAAATCCCACTGCACATTTGGTTTTTAATTTTGCACCAGCCATTGTAAGTAGTGTGATTCAATAAAATGTACTTCAGTATTTTATGTAATGAAATACTTCTGAGAAAGAAACTTGTCTTGGTTAAACAAGAATTGCAAAAAATTCATCAATATTAGTGCAAATGGAATGAAACTGTAATTTCATGACCTTATTTTAATATAACATCTTACTGATGCATTTTATATAATACAACCCTGAAGTTCAGAAATCTTTTCTGTCTTTGCCTAAACAAGGAAAAATCAATTAAGTTTTGGATGGTTTTGGGGCCTTAAATCTGTATCCCTTATAGCTGGGAGAAAGATGGGTGCTGGGAAAGAGGCAAACAGGGTTGTGTCCTGTTTAGGAGGACTCTTGAGTAAAGAAAGCCTGGACACGGGGGAAAGTGGTGCATAAGGGTTATGCCACTGTGAGAGGGGAGCTGTGTGGTTAAGAATAAGGCAGAAAGAATGCAAATGTATTTTTAGTTGAAATTAGAGCCACCTTTCTAAGTCTACAGCCAAATGATCCTGGCTCCTCTTATGCAAGGCAACAACTATCCTGGGGACTTATGGTGACAAATGAGCCTGTGAACCAGCTAAAAAGCTCACTCGTGTATTGTCGAATTTTAGTGTTGCACATGCAGGGGTTCCCTCCTGTTTTTACTTTCTCCAGAAAAAACACAAGTCAAAACTTGCAGAGGAATAAGACAGTAAAACAGCATGTTATTTCTAGGTTTCCCGAACTGAGGAGCCGCGCAGGAACGTTCAGGTTTCTGTGGGCTGGGAATGTCAGCTGGGAGCAGGGGAGCCACTGGAACGTGACGCACGGGAGCTATTTAGAGCAGTAAGGAGCCGATAGCTCTGATACTGCACAGCGAGGGGCAAGGAATCTGCAGTGTGGCTGTGGATGGAAACTGCTGCAAGTGTGGAACAGGCAGAACACTGCTAAGCTGATTACAAACAGCATTTTGAACAATTCATTCAGAAGAAAGGACATCCAGGTGCCTGAGGGAGGTAGTGAACCAGGCCAAGGCCATCAGCATGGACCTCCGCTTGGCCATGTTTTTTTTCCATTACTCAACAGGTGCTTCCCAGTGTTATCAAAGATGTTTAGAACAGAAACATGCTCTCCAGAAGCTGAGAATAAATGAGGTTGCAGCGTGCTCTCTCTGGAAAGGGGATTGACAGCTAGATAGTCATGAATCATAGCATTCCCTAAGCAAAGAAAAGCCCAACCTGCTGCACACAAAAATCACTAATAAAGTGTTTTTTTTTTTTTTTAACTGCTGTGGGATTAGAGGATTTATTACCCCATAGGGGGTGAGGAGATAGAGCCTTGCTGACCATGGCTCCTTTTCTCACTCTAAATCAAACGGCTTTTTCAACCTTAATTTGCAGGGGCTGGACCTACTACCTCTGAGAAAATCTGATCCATCTCTGGTCTACATTTGGACAGCACAGACTTTGTTTCTCGCTGTGCTCCACCCAAGTGTCCCTCATTTTTGTCCAAGCTACAGGTTTGATATTAGTACTGGATTCCTGCTGTCTGCAGAAACAGCAGCTACAGAGCACCATATCCTTGTGGTTCAAAAAGTGACAAGGAAATTAATGGAACAGTTGATTAAGTTTTACAGGCCTCCCAAGCCAAATGATTTCAGACTGCATTCTGCTCATACTGCAGGAAGCTTGGGCTACTCAGTGGGTAATTTGGTGGTCTGCTCACCTTTATTTTTTACTAGATCCTCCTTAGGTAAGAGTATCCAGGATAGGATGATAATAATACTTTTTAAAGCCCTTTCTTAATCCTGATTTGTCTGAAGTGCTAAACATTAGCAGCACTGGTCTTCTACCCCTACTGCAGGCTTGCAGACAGATACCTCCCTTGTGGAACAGTTAATGACTTTAAATGATCTTGGAAAATATGAGAAGCAATCTTCCTCAACTGGCTTTATTAGAAAACTAGGCAGTAACCCTACAACACTGAGTTATGAAATCCGTTTCCTGACTCAGCTGAGCTGCTTAAACTGTAAGGGAGGAGTGTAAAAGCTGAATTACCACCTGCATTTTAGCTATCACACCTGGATCTGAAAAGTAAGGACTTTTTAATCCAGTTTTGTGAGAGATATGGGTGAGAAGATGCTGAGCAAATGGCTGGAAGTACAAAGCTATCCCAGGCTTTGGGGCACTGGGCTAAAGAGAGATGGATTTGGCTGTCAGCAGCACAGAGCTGCTGGGTGAAGTTAGGGAGTGAGAGGCCTCCAGTGAGAAAATGTAACAAGCAAGAAAGGGGAAACACTGATGCTGGATGAAAAACAACCAGAAAGTTGCAAAACTTCAAATCTGTCAAGCGGGAGCAGAGAGGATAAAATGAGAGCAATCACTGAGAGCCAGGGAAGGAATGTTCATTGAAGTGGCAGAACAGTCAGGTACAACAGCACCAGAAATGTCTCCTTTCGCTCAGCAGTCACTGTCCAAGAGTACTGCAGGATAACCAGGACCTGAGCTGTCAGGGAAGACAAGGTCCCACAAACAGACAGATTACCTGTGACCTGTGGAGACAGCTTGAGGAGAGATGATCAATTCTGTTGTCATGGAGTCACCAGCCAATTTATTGAAAGTCAGAAAGGTAGAGTGTAAGGAAGGGCAATCTTTTCCAAGATTAGAGAAGTAGAGTACTTGTAAGCAAAGAAGATAAAGCGGTGTAAAATCATGGAGAGAACACTAGGACATGGAAAGGCAGAGGGACAGTTTAAGAAGATGCAAAATAGATTACCTTCCCCTGAGGTGTTGTAAAGACCAAACTCTTAGCACAGCTGACATATCTGTGGAGAACTGATTCTTCTGAAAGCTGGGAGCAACATCCACCAGATCGTAAATTGCTAGAAAATATCTGCTTTACTGGATTTCAAGAATAACTAGCAGTATTCTAATGTACAGACACTGGGATGACCAGACTGTCAGAGGGATCTATTCCACTTTCCATCACCCCCCAAATTGCTTAAGATACTGGAACCTCCACCTGCTCTTCATGACAAAGAAAAGCAAAAACCTGTGGTTTTCCTTAGAAGGAGTAGAAATTCTGCCTCTTTTTCATGGTGATGCTGCTGGGTAAGACTAGTCTTCGATCAAATAAGAGCTTCCAAGACTTGTTTTAGGAGTTAAGCACACCTTAGAAAAGAAACACTATCACTAATAGAGCTCGTACCAAGGATATGCCCCAAAGTGAACATCTCATTCTGTGAGAGCCTCCAAATTTTTATATTACAGCTGTCCCTTTCATCAGCTTCTCCCTGAGGAGCACTTCTTCCCTCGTCTGCTTGTGGCACAGAATTTCTTTGTTTTAAGGTCTCATGGACATCCAAACTTGCCAGTAAGTAACTTGGACATTAAAAGTATATTTTAACATATTTAGTTATGTAGGGCCTTTACTCTTTAAAAGAAAACACAGAGAAAATGGAAGCATTACCTTTAAACTTAATTTGCCTCACTGCACCTAGGGATAATGGCACTAAGGGGATACAAGATCTTAACTGCAGAGGTTTAAAAAGCCTTTGATAGTTCAACGGAGAGTGGCAGTAGCAGAAGTGCCAGGCTCTCACTGCTCTCCTTTTCCTCACTAGCTTTTCCTTCACAGAACGGAAGGAAAAGCTTCCATCTTCTCTGGAGTGACTGACTCTTCTGTAACTGCTGAGGGGTTATGTTACTTCCAGGATACCATCCTTCCCAGTTTAGGGGGGCTGCTCCATGGCCCACATCTGCCCGTCCTGTGAGTCTCGTCCCTTCTCCCTGCCTGCCTGGGAGCCGCCTGCTCCTCGCCTGCAGCACAGGCTGTGGCTGCAGGAATGAGGTGGGAGTGGGGAACAGCAATGCCTCTTGGAGCTTTTCAAAGGCTCAGAATGACTTGTCACTCGTGCAAGTAAACATCTGACAGAAGCATATGGCTCGGAATGAGCAATAGCCCCCCACGCTCGCTCACACGGGAGCTGGCAGGGCTGCTGGATGGAACAATGTGCGCAATAAAGGAAGGGGAAATGCATTTCATAAAACCAGGGAATTAAAATGTTCTCAGAAGTGAGCTGTGCAAAGCAGCTGCCAGTTCCAATGGTTTGCCTACAGTGTTCCTCTCTCTCTCAAATTCTGCCTCTCCTGGCCCCCCACACTGACTGTGGCAGGTACCAAGCAGACACATACTCACTTTCTCCATCCTGTTGTACCTTGCATTTGAGTTGGTGATCCCTGCTCCACCCTTCTGTTGTGCTGGCTCATCACTTCTGGCTGCCTGGTGTCCAGCTGCAGAGTATCCATGTAATCCTCCTCCTGTGAGTTTTGTCCAAACATCTAAGCTTTTCTGAGCCTGCCTGGGTCAATTATGGTATTTTTTTTTTATAAGTAGTAATGCTCTTCTATGGGACCAGGAGAGAGAACTGCTGAGATTCAAGCAAGAGTGGAATGGTAGCTTTATATCAGCATGTCTGGTCACAGGGTTGTCCCAGAGACTCCTCCAAGGTTCTGAGGAGGAGAAAGTGCTGCTGGAGCAAGTGGTATTGGGCAGCCCCAGCCCACTGGGAAAGACATGAGGATCCAGGCAATACCCCGCATCAAAATTCTAATTCAAAAATAGAATGGGTTTTTAAACTGACTTGTAACCAGTGTGATTCCTAAAGAGACAACATAAACATCCCTAGGTTTTCACCCACACTTCCAGCTCTTAAATCCTCTGGAACCGAGAGCTTGCAGGGGACACTTGAGTTGTTCTGGGGTGTTTGCATGACCATGGAGTCTGAAGAATTCCAGGGAACTGTGTCTCAGGCTTCTCAATGCTCATTGGGTATGCTGTGCTATTAATTGGCAGCAATTCTCATGAAGTCAATGGAGAAATTGTGTCTTGGTTTCAGGCCAGACTAAATTTAGGAAAAATTCTGAATGAAACAGACTCCTTCATTTATCAGGAGAACCATTAGGAGAAGTTTAGCTTCTGAGAGATGTTTTTCCCTTATCATCCTTCACAGATGAACAGGTATCTGTGGTAGAACATCACCACTTTATCTTTTTTTTTTTTTTTAAGCCCTAGAGACAGGTAGCTTTAAAAAAAGTGTTGGTATTTTGATGGGTATTTATTTAACAGCTCATTTCATGGTGGAAACCCCTTCATATCAGAAACTTTTGAGAACAATTTCCTCCATCAGCCCAGTTCAGACTCCAGAAAGGCTTTTCCTTTCCATGAAAACTGTATTTTCTGGTTTTGAGTAAATGTAAAAGTGCCTTTCTGTAACTCTTTTTTAATCTTGCTGGAGGCATAACATGAGATACAAGCAGATATTTGATTAATTTTAGTCTAAATGCCAGACTTAGGCAAACTTGTTACGAGTGTGTTGTCTTCAGCTCTAAGCTTAACACGTGAAGTGTCCATTTGATGGTGGCTCCTCCTTCCTCCTCCCCTCACTGCTGCTGGGCTCCCCATGGTCCTCCACGCTGGGGAGATGCCTGTGAGCCCTGCCTGGCAGAGACAGCAGCGTGGCTTAGCTCCACACAGGGGGCTGAGGCAAGATAGCTGTGGTCCCCTCCCTGCCCGCCCCCACAGCCTGGCAGCTCTCGGACAGGGATTAGGAAGCAACTGCGCGAGTTGTGCTCTGGCAAAGTATTTTCTTTGACAACAACAGAGAGGAGGATATTGCAGGAAGAGGGAAATCAGTTTCCCCTTTTCAGATTATTGTAAAGAACGGCCAACAATTTCTGCCTGGTCTTGCTTCCATGAGACACTAAAGCTGTCCCAGACGCTGGAACAGCCAAGGCAGCAAGGGGCTCGATGGCAGCTCGTTCCCACTGCCCTGCCCGAGCTGCCAGGCTGCTCCTGGAAACCAGCCTTGCTGGCAGACTACTCGTGAATCTCTGCCGTTCGGGCTCTGCAGCACCAAAGCAGCTCCAGGTCGTCAGTCTGTGAGCCGGCAGCGGATCCATAGATGGAAGGATCACAGGAGTCTGCAGGACACTGAGGAAATAATGTGCTGCAGGCAGCTCCATGCTTGGCTCTGCCTGTCAGCTTCAATTCCAGCTCTTTAATTTCCTGTGCCTGGAAGTGGTGGTGAAGGGCCGTGCTATCATTTAAAGACTCTGCCTTATACTATGTGTTCTTTTGGGATGGAGTTTGTAATATTTTAGTATCCATCCCCAGGATCTCCATCTGCTGCTGTTCTTTTACTGAAGTCTTTTGAAACTTGCCTATATTAAAAAGACTAATTTTTATTAAGATTTTTTAAAAATATATTCAAAGGGCTTTGAGAACATATAGAAAACCACTTGCCTTCTAATCCAATAAAAATCACAAACCATTGTGTTTTACCTCTAAAACTCAGTACTGAAGAAAACAGGAATTGGGTTTGGCCTGACATATTTCATTCTACTGGGCTATGGAGCTATTCAGATGAGGTGTGTTTGCATTTGTTCTCTTCCCTTTCTCCTTACAGTCTCTTACTCAAAACAGTGGGCTACCTAAAATGGAGGAAGTGGAATCTTACATTTGTTGTGAAATGAAAGCCAGTGGCCAAGACACTGAATGGCCCTTTTAGAGCATTATAAAGTCTCCCACCACCACCAGAAAGGGTAAAATGGATTTTTGACAATCCCTTGGTTTTTATCTGGAATTTTTGCATGAATAACAAATACTGTGTCTTCATATTAAAAAAAAAATGCTTTGACACTGTGTAAGACACACTGGAGATGATTCATGAGCTTTTACTTCAGCATGACTGTTGTTCCATCCTGACCTATACTTCCCATTTTAATTTGAATTCTCTTACCTGCATCATGGTAGAAATCAACCCTTTGTCTTGTGTAAGATCTTAGAAAAAGTAGACTATTCCAGTGTAATGAAAATGCACTATTTCCAGCAAGACAAAGCCAATAACAACACCCTTACCTAATCCTTTTATATACTTGGGAAGGTTTGCTGAGAGTTACAGCCTTTGCTTGACTAGCTCTGCTCTGGGCAGAAGTGAGAAACTGTCCTGTAAAAACACATGTCCCCAAGAGAAAATTTAAGGCAAAGAGGATTTTCGAAGTGTAAACAAAAGTGTGAATCATTGCCAGTGGATGTTAAGCTTCATGACTCCTTTTTTACTTCAATTTGCATAGTCGCACTTTCAGGCTGACTCTTGGTGACGAGGTACAAACTTTATAATCCCTACATTTTCCTCCTGTAGATAAGGCTTCATATCAGAGCTCTGCTGATCTGGTGTTTAGTAAGGAAAAGTATTTAGCAGTAGTGATATAGCTGACTACCTCACTCCTGCTGTAGTAGTAATATTTGTAGTTATACATATTTTTGTACTGGTTTTATACAGGTTATGGAGTTAAGATCCTGCAGGATCAGGGAACTGACACAGAAGGGCCAGAAACTCTATGGACACTGGGTAGTGGGTGTTTGCCCAATGGCCTCAACTACAAATATGCTAAAAAATACAAAAGTATGTATGTTCACTTAATGCTACAGGAGAGAAAGTAGTTTTCCAACAGCTTTCCTTACCAAATGCTGAAAACCCTGCAGGCTGACAACAGTTTAATAACTGACCCTGTCTCTCTGTTGCACTGAATCGTGATATGCTGGGCTCTCTACAACATCCTTTTCTCTATTGATGGAAACCTTGATCTGCAGCCTGAGAAGCAAAGAGGTAAAAGAAGCATCATGAAAAGCAGAAAAGAGAGAAATAATTTTTCAGTGACACAACCGGAACCAGCTTCTTTTCCCCTGACATTTCACAAATTGTGAAATGGAGCCCTGAGCTTCCTGTCTCTTTTTCAGTGTTCTCTCTCAGATGCAGTGGGATGAGACTCACATGATGCAGACGGGGATGCTCTCACATGTATTTGCAGTGTGATTTTTGTTTTTTTTAAAAACACCTATGAATAAAATCCCTCCCTGTCGCCATTGGTGGGAGGCACCCACACACCCAATAATCCCAGCAGTGCATGTACATGTGGTGTGTCTGCGAGCAGCTGACAGGGCTGGGAGCTGTGGGGTGTTGATTGAGGCTGCTGACTGTAACTCTGGGTGTGTTGGAGACTCTGCCTGCCCTGGGCCTGAGTGATATCTCCTGCTGTGGGAGGGTCACGGTCTCCAGGCGCGATCCAGCCCTTGATATCTCCTGCTGTGGGAGGATCACGCTCTCCAGGCGCGATCCAGCCCTTGTGAGTTACATTGATAACAGCTGCACATTGTCCTCCCTCTGCTGAGCGCAGCTCCTTTGTTACAGACAGAAAAAAATTCCACTTCAAAAATACTGGAGAGGATTCTTAGATGCTGAATCCCCAGGCCTGCGAGGCCTAGTGCTTTGCTACAGGTTTTAATCATCTCAATGTTTATTCAATAAGGGGCATAAAGCCAGTACTCTTACAAATTAACCTTATTTTTGACTAGGACTCAAGGTCAAGTCTCAGCTCATACTTCTGGAAATGTCTCAGCCAGAGTTAGCACGTACATTCCTCCATCCACACAGGATTAATCATACTCCTGCCATCTCAGGGTGTTGGAGTGTCTCCAAATTTCCCAAGCATAATTATTTTTTATTTTTCTTCATACTCCCCAAGTCCACACACTGTGGTGACCCCCAAAGCAATACCTATCACCTTCCCTTCCATTCCATTCTAGACTGTGGGTCTAGAACAGGCTGTAACATAATACTTGACAAACCTACACTCTCTGTAAAACAAAACTTTGTTTACTCTTATTATTGGAAAGCTTTTAAATGTGATCACTCAAGACTAATGAAGTAGAAGGCAAGCAAAACAGCATTTCATATCTGCTATTTAAAATCACTTATCCTCAAGTCTTCAAGTCATCCTGAATTTTCACACTTGACAACTTTTGAAGTTTTGGGGGCAAAATGCCTCTGATGTTGGCCCTCAAATTACTTCCACATCAGCAAATCTGTGATGTTTATTTCCACCATAAATATGCTGACACTTCTGCTAATATTTGCAACAGATGAAGGCCGCTGCCGAGTCACCAGGAATGCCTTGCGCTAACGTGATCAAGATTTAAAGTGAAAAAAAGGACGTGGGATGTAAGGAGCCTCTTCACCTTCTTAAAAAGTGCTACAGAGTGATGCCACCTGCGTCAGGTCACAGATGTCAGTGCAGATGGTGTGTCACCTTATGTAACCTGGCAGGGGCCATACGATACTAGGACACTCCATCTGCGTCAGGTTATACAACTGAGGATGTGCTCGAGCCTGATGGCAACAAACAGGCATCTGGACTGGGGCCTGGGTCGCCTTATGTGCAACATGAATTACAAGGATTCAGAGAAATTGGAGCCTCTTGCAGTCAACAGATTAAATTATTTTACTTAAGATGTTCAAGGCAAGCAACTACAACTAAATAGGGATCAAAACAAACGTACAAAGAATGGCAGTAAGAGATGGTGGCAGTGGCACGTTCAGAACAAGTAAAGGGAAATATTTATCCCTGGGCTGGGTAAGGAGGATGTGGAGCTCCCTGCTTCAGGCTGCAGGGACACTATTTCTGAGCAGACTTCTCCTGTGTGCTATCACAAACTAAAACATTCTTTATGTACATAAGGTAATTAGGCTATTACCATACTTAAATTATTTGTGAGGGAGTGTGCTCATTTCTTACTAATCAACGCCTTCACCTTTTTCTGGTGTTCCCATTTCCGATCAGCCCGACCAGAGCCCATCTGTTCTCCTACCATTTCTGTCATACTTTCTGAAGCTTCTACCTTTATTTCAGTTTTTCATTACTTCTAATCGTCTCTTGCACCATAAAATACACCAAGAACTAGCGAAGGGATTAAGATTAAATTAGAGCCACCAGAGCCTATTTTATCCACACGCTAAGGGGTTGGAAGCCAGACTCTGTACGGAATGTCAGGGAAGTTGCTCTGGACGAGGTGTGGCTGAAGCCCGCTGGAAAACACAGGGCTGCTGGACACGGACTCGTGAGTCCCCTTGGATTGTCTTGGACGTTTGTCCAGCCTCACAAGCACATTTTTTTTTCCCCCTGTTGCTGCCCCCTTCTCATTTTATCACCTTATACTTCCCGCCCGCTGGTCTTTTGCCCCACACGCTCCTCTACGCGCGGCCCCCCTCCCTCAGGTGCGCTGAGGGGCCGCCCTCCCTCCCCACCAGTGGCGGCCATTTTCTCTCCTTCTCCCCTACCCAGCCCTTCTCGCCCTCTCACCGCCTTCCCTACCGGAGCGGCGGGAAGGGCAGGGCAGGGCAGGGCATCTGATTTTGCTCACAGAATCACAGAATGGTTAAAGGTTGGCGGCTCCGGGCGGACAAGGGACCGGCACTTGCGGGCGGGGCAGCGGCGGGCGCTGCCATCTCGCGGCGCTCGGCGGGAGCGGCCGGGAAGGCGCTGCCTGAGGGCGCAGCTGGGAGCGGGCAGGGGGGAAATACCTGTGGTTCCCCCAAGTTGTTTCGAGGATGGGGGAAGGGTTTAGTGAAATAGTCAGCAACCCTGGGTTGTCTGTGTTGTTTTGGGTTTTTTTGAGATTTGTTTTGTTTTGGGTTTTTGTTTGTTTGTTTGTTGGGTTTTGTTTTTTTTCCCCCGCAGAAATAAAAGTGGGAGAAAAGGAGAGTTGGTCTGCCTTGAGTCCCGTGTCAGGCACCCAGGGGCGAGGAGGAGGCAGAGCTGGAAGACCTGTGGCTTTGGATTTCTCTGCGTGCTTGTTTTGTCTTACAGAAACCATGTACACGGGTTCTGGGATCCCCCACAGCTTTTTCTGTGCCTAAAGGCAATTTACTGGGTCAGGATTTCTGCGCTGAGGGCAGCACAGCAGGGTGATCTTGGAGTGAAGGTGGCTCCATTTTCTTGGTGATCTCAGCTATGCTTTACATGTATTTTTACATATGGAACGTGGCATAGCCCTGATACCTGTGTTGTATCTCACAGACCAGATATTTGAATGGCCTTATCTTTACATTAACAGTGAAATGATGAACAGAAGTGATAAAGCTTTCAGAAGAAATTCTTCCCTGTGAGGGTGGTGAGGCCCTGGCACAGGTTGCCCAGAGAGACTGCGGATGCCCCATCCCTGGAAGTGTCCAAGGCCAAGTTGGATGGGGCTCTGAGCAACCTGGTCTAGTGGAAGGTGTCCCTGCCCATGGCAGGGAGGTTGGAACTTGGTGATCTTTAAGATCTCTTCCAACCCAAACCATTCTGTGATTCTGTGAGCAAATTTCCCACCAACCTTCATTGCTGCTGCCCTTCACTTTGCTTTCCTCTCCTTCAAGATTTTGTTGATGTGAATTGCTCAGATGTTTATTGGTTTAGGAATACGTTCTTTTGTCAGCCACTAGGAAAGCAGAAGTTGTGAAATCTTAGAAGTCCCGAACACGGGCACCCTCTAGGAAGTGTAAAATGTATAAAACTTAAATATATATTTACTTTAGCGTACAATTCACATAGTTGAAATTGGCTTTCCAGTTTGAAATGAGCACCTGCTCTGTGATGTTAACATATGTTTCTCTGGAAGATATCAATGGGAAAGAAAAGCCTGGAAAACAGCCACAGAGAGTTGTGCCTGATGGCTTCTGAAGCTGTTTTGTGACCAATAGAGATGAGACTTTAATCAATAAATCTGTCTCTATTTTGACTGCAAGATGAAAAAAGTTTGCAGTGCCAAAGCTGAAAGGCACTTTTGTTTCCCCCCACTATTCAACAATTTTTTTTCTCTTCATGTTCATTGATGACAGAACAGGAGCTTTGTAGAGATGCAATACATTTCATAAATTAGTTCCCATCGGAGATATTGTTGACTCCTGGACAGCAAACTGGGCACACTGCAGGAAGTGCTTAATATACATCAGTGTGGCAGCAAGAAAAGAGTAAACACAGTTGCTGAATTGTTTTGTTTCAGTCTGTGGAGGGAAATGAGCCAAAAGAACTTCAGGTAGCAGTTAGGATCTGGCTGGTAAGCACTGCTGAGAGACCACACTACTTGCCAGACTGCCAAGGAAATAAGGAGAAAAAAAAATAATCTCATGCAGTATATATTGCTTTTTGGATTGAAGCACAGTATTCAGGCCATGCATATGGCAAACTAGCTTACTTTCTGGGGATACACTATGGTCTTTCTGTGAATTGCTTGGGTTTATGGGTCATCCCCTTGATCTTCCCTCTCTGGGGAGAGAGGGCAAAAATTTTTTAAAGAAGTATATCCAACAAAGATAAGCAAACTGTAGTAACTCATCCTGGGAAAAGATGGACATAAATGCAGGAGCAGGGTGTCTGTATCCCATGCCTGTGGTCAACATGAGGTGGCAGAAAGGCAAAGTTTTCTGCCCCTGAGGTTATGAGAAGTGTAAATCTGTGAAGAATGTGGCTGCTTGTTTTGCCAGAGATCACCCTAAAGATGCAGCTGTTCCTTAACTAGAGGCAGCAAAACTGATTGTTTTACTTTCAGAATTGTTGCTGCAGAACTTAAGTAAAGAGATTAAGGGATGAAATTAATTCAGTGATTGTTCTGTCCAGGGCAGAATGATGAAAGGGAAAGAATCCCCGACTTAGAGGCTCTGGAAATAGGGAATGCAAAGAATCGGGGAAGTGTGTGGCTTTTCTTTGTTAGGCATGACGCTTTTGCAACCCAAATATCTAATTGTACAAAAAATGTAAAAGCACTTTAATGAAAAATAACAAACAGTTGTTCTGTAATGAGAAGAAACGGCAGACCACTGAAGTTACATTTGATTTCTAGAGTTTTGATCTCTCGTCAGCTGTGTATGGTTTTCAGAGTGCTGATTTTAAGATATGTTGACCACTCAGTTGCTAATGAAGCCAACTGGATGCCAGATATTTTGCATTTCTTGTAGGGGTTTCTGAATTCATGTTATTTCCCAGTTTTGCTTTAGAGTTTAGATTACAAATCTGAGATTTAACTTTACTACTAACAGGAATGATTCAGGGGTTCAAAAAGAGGAATAGCCTCAGATCCATGGCTGGAGAAGCTGTCAGAACAGAGAATTTCTTTGGAAAACATGTTCAAGACTGTGTGTTCAACACACTAAAGCAGTTTAGAGTCGAGCCAGACTTCCCAAGGCTTCAGAACAAAGACCAAACTCCTGGGCTCAGTCTGGATCCAGGTGATGTGATG